AAAACATCCGTGTATTCCTTCACCATGTGGACCGAATTCTCAATGTATAGCTTCAGGAAATAATCCATCATGTTCATGTCTTCCATCTTATATTGGTGCTCCACCAAATTGTCGACCAGAATGTATAATAAACCCAGATTGTCCATCAACTCTTGCTTGCATTAACAACAAATGTAAAGATCCGTGTCCAGGATCGTGTGGAAGTGATGCACATTGCCAAGTTGTTAATCATGCAGTTTCGTGTCTATGTCCCTCTGGATATACAGGAAATCCATTCGTTCAATGTATTTATCAACAAGGTACGTTAATATTGTATTTATACATTTAGTTAAATTATTTCTTAATTTCTTTCACATATTTAGAAAATTTAAATCCATGTGAACCATCTCCATGTGGTGCAAATGCAATATGTAAGCAACAAGATGGTGCCGGATCTTGTTCTTGCATTAATGATTATTATGGAAACCCATATGAGGGTTGCCGACCTGAATGTGTTCATAGTTCTGACTGCCCAACAAATAAGGCATGTATTGGAAATAAATGTGTTGATCCTTGTCCCGGTGTATGTGGAGTAGACGCTGTTTGTACAGTCATTAGTCATGTTCCAACTTGCAACTGTATGTCTGGATATATAGGAAATCCATTCACGTACTGCCAACCTCAACCTCCAAGTAAAATATTTATTTTTAAAATTGTTAATAAATAATATCTTAAAATTATTAAATATTCATAAAATTAGCAACCCAAGCAACAGTGTATGATCCTTGCCATCCATCACCTTGTGGACCTAACAGCCAATGTAAAAATGTAAACCAACAAGCAGTATGTTCTTGTCAAATAGAATACCAAGGAACTCCACCAAATTGTAGACCAGAGTGTGTCGTAAACAATGAATGTCCATCGAATAAAGCTTGTCATAAATTCAAATGCACAGACCCCTGTCCTGGAACATGTGGATTAAATGCTCGTTGTGAAGTTATTAATCATAGTCCAATTTGCACATGTTCACCTGGTATGATTGGTGATCCTTTCACAAGATGTTATCTACAACCAGGTTTGTTACTAATCCATTATCTTTATTCTATCTATAGAATCCAAAATCATTAACATTGATACTCAGTTTGTGTTTGTGGTTTCTGATATGGATTGATAGATTGATTAATTAACTGTAAATATTATAAATAAAACACTTAATTGACTATATATTATCACACAGTGAAACCATTAGATGAACCGGTGATACCTACAAATCCTTGTATCCCCTCACCATGTGGACCGAATTCTGAATGTAGACCAGTTGGAAATCAACCATCATGTTCATGTCGAACAAATTATGTCGGTTCTCCACCAAATTGTCGACCGGAATGTTCCGTAAATTCTGACTGTCCTTCTGTATTGGCTTGTATATCAGATAAATGTAGAGATCCATGTTATGGATCTTGTGGTTTAAATACAGACTGTAGAGTTCAAAATCATATACCAACTTGTACATGTATCTCTGGATACAATGGTGATCCATTCACGCAATGTAATCCAATAATAGGTACAATAATTTACTTATAATTCTAATGTGTTTAATCATTTAATATTAAAATTATAAAATATTATTTTTAGTGCAACCAACACTAGCCACACCTACCGATCCATGCAATCCATCACCTTGTGGTTCCAATGCACAATGTTACAATGGAGTTTGTCAATGTCTGACTAACTATTTTGGAGATCCATTAATAGGTTGTCGACCTGAGTGTACAATGAACACAGATTGTCCTAGGAATAAAGCATGTTTAAACCAAAAGTGTCAAGATCCTTGTCCAGGCACATGTGGTCAAGGAGCCATATGTGATGTCATCAACCATATTCCAACATGCAGTTGCCCAATTGGTACTGCTGGTGATGCATTTGTTATATGTAGACCTATTAAAGTTCAAGGTATAAATCAAATTATATTTTAAAAAATATATATAATTACATAAAAAATATTCTTATAGATGAACCATCTAAAGACCCATGTAATCCTTCTCCATGTGGACCAAACAGTGTCTGTCGTGTAGTAGAAGGACATGCTGTCTGTTCATGTCAAAATACTATGATCGGTTCACCGCCTTCTTGTCGACCAGAATGTGTTGTTAGTGCAGAGTGTCCTTTAACTCAAGCATGTCTAATGAGCAAATGCCGTGATCCATGTCCTGGAACTTGTGGCCATCTTGCTAATTGTAAAGTAGTAAATCATAGTCCTATCTGTACTTGTCCACCACGACATAGTGGAGATCCATTTAGGAGTTGTTATCCTGTTCAAGGTAACATATTTATTAAATACAATATTTAAATTTTATACTTTAAATACTATATTATTTTATTCCAGAAATAAAACCAACACCATCAGCTGATCCTATTAATGTTTGTGTCCCGTCACCGTGTGGGCCCAATTCTGAGTGTAGAGATCGTGGAGGTGCACCAGCGTGCTCATGCTTACCAAATTATGTTGGAACACCACCATCATGTAGACCGGAATGTACAATTAATCCAGAATGTCCTAGCCATTTATCATGTATTAATCAAAAATGCACAGACCCTTGCCCTGGTTCATGTGGCTCAAATGCTGTATGTTCTGTAATTAATCACACTCCCATGTGTTCCTGCAATAATGGATTTACCGGAGATCCGTTTACATATTGTCAATCAGTCCCGGGTAAGATTTTAAGATATTTGCATGAATATGCTTTATAAATTTGAGTTAAAACACGCTATATAATTTAATGAACATTTTTTTTTAACGCTTGCTTCATTAACATATGTTTTTAGTGCTTGCTGATTTTTGATTTATGGTTTAAATCGTAAAATTAATAATAATGATATAAGTACATGGTAATTTAAATTAAAGTTTCACAAATAACTTATATCAAAGGCCATAATACATTTTTAAAACATTAATAATAAAATTCACAACAATGACACTATCATTTGATAAGCATTTTTGTTTTTAATATAATATATTAAAATATTTTATCATTTATT